TTTTTTTTTAAATTGGAATTAAAAGGCCCAAAAACCCAATGTTGTGTTGTTCCCCCAGTGTTTTTCTAAGATTTTCTGTTATTTGTGTTCCCAGATGGTAAGAAAACAAGTCCTATCCTGCCGAGTGAGATGGTGGAATTTACTTTATTAGCTTGACTTAGATTATTTTAAAACTATTGTTGTGTATCTGGCATCTTGATTAATTGAGAATCTTTTTAGAGAAGCTGTAAGGTTGCAATAACACCTTCTTGAAAGGACATACAATAAGAAATTTCAATGTCTGTTAAAGTCCCAAACTTTTTGGTGCTTGAGGATGTGAATGGMTCTGCAGGCCCAGCAGTGCCTTGGCATATTTTGGGGTAATAAACACAATATGTTGTGTGCAGCTGGTTATTTAAAACATTTTTTTTCCTCTCTCAGGGCATATTCCCTGCCTCCTATATCCATCTTAAGGAAGCAATCGTTGAAGGCAAGGGGTAAGTTGGATTTAAAAATTAAAAAAAAATACTTTTTTTGTTTTACCCACGTTGTTTCAGTGCATTATCAGATGGCTTACACTTGTTTCCAGGTTGTTTTCTGCCTTACTGAGAAGTCATTTTGTGATTCTGTTATTCCCTTCCCTGGTGTTAATTCTGGTTTGAGCTGTATTTGCTGTTCAGCAGCACTTCAGGTGCTCATATATCAAATCAGCTTTGCTGGATGTGCATGTGAAACTTTTGAACATGGATATAAAAGCTAAAAAATGAAAGACTAAAAGTTAAAAAAACAGGAAAAACTCACAACCGAATCCCAGAGGGAAAAGGAGGTGAAGTGAAATTAATGAATAATGACCCAGGTACGAAATGGAGTGAAACAGGATTGAAATATTTCATTCCTTTGTGCCGGATTTATTTTTATACTCATTTAAATATGCAAATGATYAAACCCCTAATCATGAGATTGCTGCATAATGACATCTTCCTTGCTGATTGCAAAACTGCCTTTAAGTACCCTTGTTCTGCAATATTCAACGATCTGGCTGGTGTTCCTTACCTTCACGGCACCTAATTTTAACACAAATCGTACAGAAACTTCATGGGAACGAATGGAATCTTCATTCTTCATTGGAAGGCCAGCATTTTGAAAAATAAAGAATAATTACAGGGGAATATCATAGTATTGGAAGTTGGGCAGGGTTGGGTTTTGTTCTTGGTTGCTTAATAATAAATATCTCAATGATGAATGTCACAGTGAGGTGGGCATTGATATCCTTGGGAGTGGAGAAATGAGGAGAGGGTGGGGAAGGTTCTCAAGGATGTGAGAGGGTGGGATGAGAGGGAATAGCCTTGAACTGAAGTGGGGAGGGCAGGGATGGATGGGATWTTGGGCAGGAATTGTTCCCTGTAGGGTGGGCAGCCCTGGCACAGGRTGCCCAGAGAAGCTGTGGCTGCCCCTGGATCCCTTTGAGTGCCCRAGGCCAGGCTGGACATTGGGGCTGGGAGCAGCCTGGGACAGTGGGAGGTGACCCTGGATCATCTTTAAGGTCCCCTTCAACCCCAACCATTCCATAATTTTATAATCTCAGTGCTTCCAAGTACCCTTAATGTGGTAGGACTGTACTGGTGTCAGTAATATGCATTAACATCTTACTTTGGCTCATAAATTTATAATAAATGTTGCTAATTCCAACATTCCAACCCTGTTTTATTCAATTGCCTTTGGAAATGATCAGTTCCTCCCTAGAAATGATCGAAGATGAGGTGGATTAGGTTAGATACCAGCACAGAAATGTTCACAGTAGAGGTTTTCAGACCTTGGCAGAGGCTGCTTTGTGCAGTGGTGGAGTCCCCATTCCTCGAATTGCTAAAAAAAATTGCTCAAAACATTGCTCAAAACCCCACCTCTGTGGATTTGGCACTTGAGGATGTGGGTTTGTGGTAATGCTGGTTTGACTCTATGATCTTAAAAGTCTTTTAAAACCATAAAAAATCTTTAATTCTTAATTTTTCTTGGTTCAATGTCTTTTTTTTTGCCTCCTCAGCCAACATGAGACAGTGATCCCCAATGAGCTGCCCCTGATCCAGGAGGTCACCACCACACTGAGGGAATGGTCCATCATCTGGAGGCAGCTCTATGTGGTAAGGCCAGCTCAGGAAAACATCTCCACTGGGAGAGTTTGATGGGAAAATTGGTGCTGGAGAAGGTACAGGCTGAATTATCAACAAATTATTAATTATGGAGGAACTTCTAATGAAATTCCCCTTCTGTTGTTGTTGCTAAAGGCTGCTTCCAGTGCTGAAAATCTGTGTAGCCTCATCTCTGTTWAAAGCACAAATCTCAGTAGTGATTCTCTTGCCTGTTTTTTTTCAAATCCCTCAATTTTCTTGTGCAGAATCAGATCTTTTTAGGGTTTTACCCTGATCTGGCAATGATTGGTTGAATGATTACAACCAATTTTTATTAAAAAAAATACATTGGATTTTTAAGGTGTGTATGTATTTGGAGTCATTTAGCATGTAATTTTATTAGAGAAATGGTTTTCAGGCAGTTTGTTAAGGCTGTTGGTCTGTGTTAGGGAATAGAGTTTTTGATGTTGAATTTGAAAGCTTTGTAAAATTATCAATGCAGGCCTTTYACCTCTCAGTATTCCTTTCCTTAAAGTTAATTTTTCCCAAATTTTGACACCATAACTCGTGTACCTATTGATTTTGACACGCTAAGCTTCCAAGCACATAAAAATACACTCTTAAATATTTATAATAAGCATTATTGATAAGCTCCTAAATGGGAAGATAGAAAAACAGAGATGAAGTTGCCCATAAATGAGATCAAAATTCAAACTTTTACACTGAAAAATGCAGCTCAACTTCACAGCAAAGCCTGCTGTGGGATTTAAGGCACCTTGTTCCCACTTTTGCAGCTCTCATCATGCAAGGTCACTGTAGCAGGATAATGGGAAYGTGAAATTTCTTTATTTAAAGCAGGGTTTAATGCACTCTCTGTTTGCCATAAATATGTTTGAAATCTCATCTCATAAAAGCRCGAGCGGTAATGAAGATGTTTGTGCTGACTAATGTGGCTTTTAATCACACCCATGAAAATAAAGATTAGGAGGAAGAGTGTAATGGAGATGATGTAGTGTGGCAATATAGAAGATGAAGGATAATATCTTGTATGGAAAGAAAGAGATTATGTGTTAGGGAGAGGATTAAGGGGTTGGAAGAGCAGTGAGGAGGAAGGGAGAAGCAGAAATAAAGCAGGAGGAGAGGGCACCAAAACCAGCTTTGCCCTTGGTTCCACTGCTGTACCATCATGGAAAGGTTTGGGATGGAAGGGATTTTAAATCCCATCCTGCTCCACCCYYTTCTACTCTCYCAGGGTGCTCTGAGCCCTGTCCAGCCTGGMTTTGAGCACTCMCAGGGTGGGAAYTGGGGCTGGGAGCAGCCTGGGATGGGGTAAAGCCAACAGCTTTAAGGTTCCTTCCAAACCATCCCATTCTGTGATAAACACAGAATAAACACAATACTTGCTGTGCTTTCTGCTTTGAATCCTGGAGCAGGCAGTGAAGGCAGGTTTGTTTTACTGGGGACAGCCAGTTTCAGACTGGGTAGTCTGCAGATCTGAAAGATATTCCACATTGACCATCTTTTGTGTATCAAAAATCCCCATTTATGCCTTGATTCGGTTTGTAATTTGTGTTTGGATCTTGAATGGATGTTCAGGTTCTGTTTGCAGAGAGCAGAGGATGTGGAATGTTTCCCATCTCTCTGCTTTATGATTGCCTGCAGCCTTGAAAATCAGGAACTTCTTCCCCATTTGGATTTGTCTGTATTTAGCTTCCAGCCATATGTGCCTGTTGTGTTTTTCTCTGCTACATTAAAGAGCTTTTAATAATGGGTATTTKCTCTCTGTGAAGGTTCTCCCACTATAATCAAGCCAGCTTTTGGATAATCTGAACAGAGTGAAGTCTTTAAGTTTCACAGTGAGAAATCCTTTTCCCARAGTCTTGGAGTCATTATGTTCTTTTTCCTGCATCTTCTGCAGTTTTTCGTTGTTCCTCCTTTTTTAGTGGAGAATTTGATTGTAATTATTTAATTATTCTCAGCTTAGCTGAGTGTTGCCAAGGAAAGTTTGTGTATGCTGCTGGCATTATTTAATAGCCACAGTTCCAGGTTTTATAAACAATTTAGGAATTTAACTTCCTRTGAAGTTGAGGTCTTTCCTGGTGTTTCACTGTCCTTTAGAAGTCACCTGTGGACTTGCATGGCACTGATGTGCACACTGAGGCATTTTAAAATRTTTTTTTTGGAGGTTTAACCAGGGGAGGGGAAGGATTCTCCCATCTGTTGCAGATGGATTATTGCACAACTTGAGCCTCTTGCTGTTAAAAAGCACCATTTTAGTCCTGTTCTGCTCAGTGCAGAGGGTCACTGAATAAAGCTACTCTGGGAATCAATAAAAGGACATTTTCCTCTTTGATGCCTGMAAACAGCATGACCCAGGTTTTAGGRCAGCAGAAACCCAAGCATTTTACACCTGTCTGGATCCTAAAAGCTGAGTGCAGGGCCCTCAATGCTCAGTGCTTTGTGCTGTAAGAAGTTAAGCTCCTGTTCCAGAGCTGCTCTAGGCTTACCCTTTAAATTCATATTTATAATTGCAATTTATTTTGTATATTTACAAGCCTTCAAACCTGATTTCTCCCCTTCTTTCTCCCCCCCAAACAGCAGGACAACAGGGAGATGTTCCGCAGCGTCCGGCACATGATTTACGACCTGATTGAGTGGAGATCCCAAATCCTCTCTGGGACCCTGCCCCAAGATGAGCTCAAAGAGCTGAAAAAGAAAGTGACTGCCAAAATCGATTATGGCAACAGGTTTGTGAAGAGTATTTCCCATTTTTTTCTGCCTCAAACCAGATCCTGTGTAAGACACGTCAGCTGTCAGTGACTTCTCRCAGGATTCTTTTCTTTCCTGTAGTTGTAGAGATGAAATATTTGCATATTCACACTTTACTATAACAAACCAAAGATTGAAGTGGATGCAGGATCTTTAAAGCATCATGTGCAAACTGGAGTCCATCTCTCTCTCTGAGTGGGATCATCAGTTTGATGCTGCACTGAAGTTGTGATTTTTTAAGGCCAATTGAAAAGCGTAAGCATTGCCTCCCTTCAAAATAGGATTTTAAACTCTGCTTGCTTGTGCAGCACAAACAGTTGTCACCCTCTGAGCACCACCAGCTGCCTGTGCCCTCGAGTCACTCAGCTGTAATGTGATGTTGAAGGATTTTGGCTCAGAAGCATCATTTAGCTCTTGGTTCCTCTTCTTGTGCAGGATCCAGCTGGTAGCACAAGATGAACAGGGAGRTTTCATAAGAGAAAAGAGCTATTTAGCACAAGAGAGTGGAAGTTGGGGTGGAAATATTGACCCAAAAAGAGACAGCAGTGTAGGCTCCATGYATTGGATATTTTAGAGATTCAGATGTTTTCTCTCCCCAGACTGCTATCTGGGTTTAAACACAATTTTTGTAAATATAAGTTTTAGGTTATAACTCGTCTGTATAGTTATGACTTTCCACTTGGATCAAAAATGAGAAATCAAACCTTACTCTTCATCATTGAAGCAGTGTTTTGAGTACTGAGAGACAAGGTTACAGTGCTCCCTTCCCATCTCACCCATTTGGTGGAATTCTCTTGTCCTGCACACCTGGGCAGTGAAAAARTTCTCAGCAGCCCAGCCTTGAAATCCTTTGTGATGCAAATATCTCATTGTATTTCAGCTATTTGTGTTCAATGCCTTAAGAACTCCCAGATTTGCAGTATTTCCGTTCATATACTCCATCAGCAAAAGCTGTGATTAAAAAAAAWTWAAAAAAAAAAAATCAGTAACTGCATTCAGTCAGTAATTACCATTTGTAATCCCAGATATGGAYGGTTGTACCTCTGGAGACAATTAAGCAGATGTTGTTGGTATTATTTGTTTGGCTACTGTACTTTACCATCTGCCCAAGGAGTTGGTAAAAGTTGCTCTGAATAACCTCCAGATGCTCAGCCTTCAAATGCAATGGAACATCTCGTGCTGTGCTCTGTGTTCCCCATGTTCTGATGGACTAATTAAGTGATCAGAACGTTCTCTGGGGGTGCAGGAGGGAGGTGAATGTGAACTTGTGAGTAAATASTCACCACTGAAAGGTAACATATGTTTCTAATAAAAGCCTGCATTTGCTTGTGCCTGAAAGAAGCATGAATGGGGAGTTTAGGATGCAGACAGAGCCAATTTATTGTCTGCTTTAGAAATACTGGCTGATCTTTAAGGTCCCTTCCAGCCCAAATAATTCTAAATGTTTCCTGTCCTAACCATATCCTAACTTTTGCTGTCTTGTGAAACGCTGATTTGTCAATAAGACCTTTTCTTTCTATAAATACAGACAGAAGTTTTACAGCAAATTGTCAAAATGACTGAGGAAGCAAAAATGGCCTTAGGAATCTGTATTTTTAATATCTTTTTGAAATTGGGTCAGGTAATTTTGTTGTGGAAATGCTTTTTTTTTTTTGTTCTGTTGCAAATATCTGTAACTGGGACACTTAGAAAAAAAAATTTAGGTTTTTTTTTTTCCCAAGCATAATTTGCAAGTTAAAGACTGAAACAAAGGGACTGAATCAAAGGGGAGGATTTGCTTTGACTTCTCTGACAGTGTGTGCAAACACTGGTGTGCTGCAGTCGGGGTTATGAGCCTTTTCCTGAATTTCTGAGCTTTTTCCTGGCTGTTTCTCCCATGGAAGATTCTGCAGCACTGACAGTTCCAGCTCCGTGGGTGTTTCTCCTGCTGTGGCTGCTGTCCAGGAATCAGCACTAGGGAGGAGCACAACAACTTTGGCTGCTTTTCTGTTTGGTTTCARTGCTGAAACCATTTTCTCACCAGAAATTCCATCTGGGAGGGGGAATGGGATGTTCCAGGGATGCTGGAGAGTTTTGTGGTGGTTGGGTCTGGTTCCAAAGGTGGTGCTTCAAAATCTGCTGCCTCCACTCTGCAGCTTGAGGGGTGTTCATCTCCCCTGCAATTACCATTAATTAATTGGAGGGGTTTGGATGTTTAAACACCTTTAACAGCTCAAGGGGTGAGGAGGAATCCCCCAAATCCATGGAAATTGCTTTGTGTGTCTCTTTTTCAAGTGCTTGCGGGTTATGCCCAGAGGGAATCTTTCAGATAAATCATGAGTCCCTGTGTGATTGATCAGACCCAGCAGATTTGATTTAAGCTCATTGATCAAACATACTTCAACCCTTAAGTTACAGCAGCTCCACTGGGAGAGTTGACCACAGGGTTAGAAGAAAAATTTAGGGATTTTTTTTCTTTGATTTGTGGAACAAAAGAATGGACCATCCTCCATTTATTTGGGTTGCCAATAACATTACTCTTAGAGAAGAGATCTGATTTTTTTAACCCTTGGTTCTGCTGCCAGCACTGAGTTAATGGGGAGAAATGTGAAAGTTTTCTCTGAAGCTGGATTTGATGGTGGCAGAAACCTTTCTCTGTAGAAGGTAATTGTGGATTTTAACACCCTGCTGACAGAAACCTTGTTTAAATAAAGGGRAACAGCTTATGCCTTACTTTGTGGAGTTGGGGTAAAGCAGGAGTTTGCAGCTTGGAGGAGAAGGTGGGATGGGTGGCAGGAGCTGTTTGTGGTGGGTTTTTGAGGCTGGGGGATTGATCAGAGYAGGAGACCAAGCCTGGTACAAATGGGTTTGTTTAAGGAATTGCTTCCCCAGCTGTTGATTTGCCTCATTTCCATCAGTCCTGTGCTCTGGGAATCACTCACTTGGATCTCCAGAATTCCTGACATGTTCAATTGTGTTATCATGTCTCAAATAATTTCCTCTCCATTGTTCCTCAGGTGAAGTTAAACRCTTGGCAGGAGTTGTTCAGACATTCMTTTGAGCAATTTTTAATTCACAAAYATTTTCTGCCTCACTTAGAATTCTGGATTTGGACCTGGTGGTTCGAGATGAAGATGGCAACATTTTGGACCCRGAGCAGACCAGCACCATCAGCCTTTTCAGAGCACATGAAATMGCTTCCAAGCAAGTTGAGGAGAGGCTACAGGAGGAAAAGGTAAGAGACAACCGAGGCTTTTCCCTGTGAAACACGAGGCTGTAAATTAATTGRATGGCTGTTATTTTTAGCAGTGATAATGGGGGATCTGATGTGTTCATGCAGAATTATCAGGCTTAAACACTTTGTAAGAACTTTTGTGTTTTAGGCTGGTTTTTTTTCATCCCTTAAAGGGTTTGTAGTAGCATTTATGGTTCAGAGTTGTAATAAATCAGCTGTATTTGTAGGTTTATGTCAGGTGTGCATGTGAGAGGTTTGGAAGTTAGGTTGTCATCAGAGTTTATATTTGAGAATCACAAAGAACAATATCCTCATTCTTCTATGGTTTCTTTATGCCAATCCTAAAAACTTGTGGAAATAAAAGGGGTAGATTTAAAGCCCATCTCAGTCTTGAACAGTCAGCACCTTTGCTGTTCAAAATCCTTATTTTTAAAAGGAAAAACTTTTCTGTTTCTCTTTCTGTTGTGTGTTCCTGTTTTCTTTTTTTTTTTCCCAGTTATATTTGAGGCTCTATTTTTTCATCCAGTTGTCTTTCTACTTAATAAGTGAAGACATCTTTTCTCTCCTTTTTCACTTCTTTTTTAACTTTCCCCTCATGGTGTGGCACTTCAAGACAGATCCAGGAAATGCTGTCTGCCACAAAACCTAACAGAAACAAAGATCACAGGAGCAGACACTCAATGGAAACCTCCTCTTCTTCCTTTTGGAAAGTTTTAGGAAAGTTTTATAGCAGTTGGATATCTGTTAGGCAAAGTTAAAGTTGGTTTTATTGTGTTCTTGAATTGCAGTCTCAGAAGCAGAATATTGATATCAACAGACAAGCCAAGTTTGCAGCCACTCCTTCGTTTGCTTTATTTGTGAATTTAAAAAAYGTGGTGTGTAAAATAGGAGAGGATGCTGAGGTCCTGATGTCTCTGTACGACCCCCTGGAATCCAAATTCATCAGGTTAGTGCCATTTTTATCTGTTTTTACTCAGGGATAGTGCTGAGGTACTTTGGGGCTTAAAGTCCAATTTCTGTGAAAGGCAGGGCCAGGTCCCTTCTCCTTGGGGACATTTTGGGGTTGTGCTGTGCTTGTGGGTTCCCAGAATTGGAGGTGAAAACACTGCAAGGGCTGTGCTCTCGCTGAGCTGCACCAATTCTCACACTTGGATGCTGTGGAGAAACTTTCTTCATTAAAATAACAGGCACTGAGGGAAATAGCAGCTCTCTGCTCAATAGTCATAGGTTGAGGATGAGGAAATCATGCTCTTCTGTGAATTCTGAAGTTGATTTTAGCTGCTTATGTTAAAGAGCATGAAGCGATAGAATATGGGGAATGGCTTTAAGCTGGAATAGGGTAGATTTAGATGGGGTGTTTGGGAAGAAATCCTTTCCTGAAAGGGTGTGGGGAGGCACTGACAGGAGTTTCCCAGAGAAGCTGTGGCTGCCCCTCAATCCTTGGAATGCCCAAGGCCAGGTTGGACAGGGCTTGGAGCACCCTGGGGTGGTAGAAGGTGTTGCTGCCATGGCAGGGGGAGGATGAGATGAACTTTAAGGTCCCTTTTAACCTAAACCATTTTGTGCTTCTGTTGCTTTGTGATTTAAACAAAAAGTCTTCAAAATGCTGTTTATTTCAGTGAGAACTACCTGGTGAGATGGTCGAGCTGTGGCCTGCCCAAGGACATTGACAGACTGCACAACCTGCGAGCTGTGTTCACTGTGAGTGGGCACTGCCAGAGCGTGCCCTGGGGCTCACTCAGGACTGGGGATGGGGTGGCACCTCTGCAGGGAGATGGAGAGGGGCTTGGGATGAAGGATGGAGGGGCAGGACACAGGGAATGGCTCCCAGTGCCAGAGGACAGGGATGGATGGGATTTTGGGCAGGAATTGTTCCCTGGGAGGGTGGGGAGGCTCTGGCACRGGGTGCCCAGAGAAGCTGTGGCTGTTCTGGCAGTGCCCAAGGCCAGGTTGGATGGGGCTTGGAGCCCCCTGGGACAGTGGGGAGGTGTCCCTGCCCATGGCAGGGGCTGGAATTTGATGATTTTAAGGTCCCTCCCATCCCAAACCACTCCATGTTTCCATGCTACCAGAGGCTCCTGTGAGACATTATTCAGCAGCCACTTATGAGCATTCTCCACACCTGGGAAAAATCTAAGTGGCTCTTTGAATTTTTAACTTCCTAGAAATGATTTGTCCTCCTAAGCAGTTAATTTGCACACAGCTCCAATAAGATATTTAAATATTGTTACAAGAGCTGCTCTGGAACAGTTTGTGTTAGAGGTTTGCACAGCCAAGGTGAATTCTGAGCAACAAATCTTCTACCTATTGAAATGAAACTTAAAATTCAGCTCTCAGAAAGCAGCCTGACGTGAGTGCTGTTTGCAGGACCTGGGYAGCAAAGACCTGAAGAGGGAGAAGATCAGCTTTGTGTGCCAGATCGTGCGAGTGGGCAGGATGGAGCTGCGGGATAACAACACGCGCAAGCTGACCTCGGGGCTGCGCAGACCCTTCGGGGTGGCAGGTACCTCCTCTGGGCTGGCCCTATCTTTATCCTCCTCAATTCCTGCTGAGAAATTATGGGGTGGAGCTGCTCTGGGGCAGTGCAAACTCAGAGTGTTCCAAATCTCACCCCCCTTGTTGCTGTGTCCTAGAAAATCCCTTCTAGAATTTGTGTCAGCTGAGATGGCAGAGGTTATTTCCAGCATATTGTTATTCCATAGATAATTCTGGAATTCCTCTGTTGGTAATTCCACTCTCCTCTGAGTCACTGTTKCTCCAATCCCCCAGGGTGTTCCCTCTTCCCACGTTGATGAGTTATTCAGTGCCCTTGGTTTCTCTTTGCAGTGATGGACGTTACTGACATCATTAATGGGAAGGTTGATGATGAGGACAAGCAGCACTTCATCCCATTCCAGCCGTAAGTAGGGAGCAGTTTCAAGAGCAAGCAGAAGTGGAAAAAAAAAAAATTAACTTTGATTTAAAAAAACGGTCAACATTTTGAAGATAATTTAGCTCCATGTGATATTTTCTCCTAAATAATTTCTTCTTGAAAAATTTTCTATCATAAAACACAACTGATTTCCTTTTAGCTACACTTGCTAGCCCCAACAATTTTTGATATTTTTTTTGAGTTTAAAGCATGCATTCCCAATTTTACAGCCTGGTTTTCTCTTTGCTTGAAGAAGTCAGGGTGAGAACATGTCAGAGGTGAAATGCTCAGAGTAAATTCATTGCTTGTTTAGCTCTGCCTGAGATCGATATAGATCATGTTCTGCCCATAGATCCCAGATTTTTTTTTGTAAGTTCCATGAAGAAAGGTAGAAGGGATAAGGCAAATAAATTTGCATGAAGTATGGATGCTTAGTTTTCCCATTATGGGAAATGCTGGACTGCCATCTGTTCCAAAAGGCAAAACAGAATTATGGGAGCAAAATTCCATGATTAATACACTGATGGGTATTCAGAGCAGTTTTAATGATATTAAAAAAAAAGAAGCTTGAAATAATGTAATCTTAAATTAACTTTATTTTGAAAAATAGGCCTGGTTCAGGAAGCCCTCGTGGGTTGGAGGTGATGAGAGAAATGCAGTGTGTGTGCAGGTGCTGCAGGGAGGATGGGGGGTGTTGATGATAAAATCAAAATGCAGTTCCATTCCTCAAGGAAAAACGGGTTTTAGGGAAGAGAAGGACATGTTTATTGTGTGGTAAATAGTAGCAAAGTTGTTTTTCAGCAAGTGTGGAAATATGCAATGAAAATGAACCTTTCCAARTGGCTGCTAATGGAACATCCCGTTTTCTGCTCCATTAGCACAGATTCATTTTTCCTGTTACACTTACAGTGAGGTTTTTAAAAGATGCACAATGTGATATCTCTTTTTCCCTTGTAATAAATTAAAACATTCTCMTGAAAAAGTCTATTGCAGAGAATATGAATAAGGTGGAAAGACTCAAAGTGACGCTGGTGGCGTTATTTCCGCCCTGGGCTGGGGCTGTGTACATGAGCCCCATTTTTCTCCTTCATTCCATGCTTTGTTGTTAMACCACATGCAGTTCTGTTTTCATATCTTTCTTTGTTTCTATTCATTCACTGGCCACCAGCACCATTGGTGTCACAATTGGCACGATTTGCCTCAGTGACAYCTCACCTGCTGTTTATTTATCATCCCCATCTTCTCATTTATTCACCGAGTTTGGGTTGTCTGCTCTTCTCCTCCTTTTCCCTGTGATATTAATGGGTGCTGCTCCACCTGTGGRATGGCAGAGGTGACCCTGGTGGTGTTTCAGGGCCATTCTGCTATCAATATATGTATTGATTTCAGTATTGATATCAAAGAGAGCTGCCTGTGTGGGTTTTCCCTGCTGCACTGGGGGATCTCCAGTGGGAAATGTTCCCCTGGTCCCCAAGGGAGCAGAACCCTCCCAGGCACGATGGACTCTCCGTGGTAGCTCAGCATTCTTCTGATTAATGRTCTCCCTCTGTCTTTCTTGTCACCTCTCCTGTCCTTTGTCCTGCCTTGACTAATCAACGCTCTTTGTCCTGACYGTGATACGATCTTTTGTGTTCCCTTGTCACTGTGCCTCCTGGTTTTCTGTGCCCCCCTGTCTCCCGGTGTTGGTCGTCATGTGCATCCTCCAGGCTAGCGTTGGGTGACGCCATTCGACACAAGCAGCTGAACATATCATCCCGTTTTTCACCCAGGGTGGCAGGGGAGAATGATTTCCTGCAGACTGTTATAAACAAAGTGATTGCTGCCAAAGAAGTCAACCACAAGGGGCAGGGTAGGTACCGCGCTCTGCCGGGGTTTGTGATGTGAGATGGTTTTAGTGTGGTGTTGGGGGTTAAGATTTCTCCTTTTGTTTCCTCTCTTGGGGAATTTTTCTTTCCCRTTTTGTTGCTGGGATGTGGGAATCTGGGAATTGTTTGGTTGTTCCTCCCTTCCCTGCCCTTTAGGGCTTGTCCTGCTYGTCCCTCTGCCCTGTGGACAGGCTGTAGTGCTGCTCAGCTCTTGGATGGTTTTGTACTCCTAAATACAAAATATCCTGATGGGGAGGGTGCAGAGGAGACCACAGAGATGGTCAAGGGTTGGGATCTCTGTGATGATCTCTGTGATTTCTCTCCCCTGGTTGTTCTGGGGAGGAGCAGACTGAGAGGGGATCTCATTGTTCCATATCAATATATCCAGAGGATGGTGCTGGGCTCTTTTCAGGGTGAGGAGCAGTGACCCCGAACTAAAACAAAATGAGTTCCACCTCACCATGAGGAGAACTTCCACAATGGTGGCAGAACCCTGGAATGGCTGCCAAGGGAAGATGTGAGGTCTCCCACTCTGTAGATGTTCCCAACCCCCCTGGACACTTTCCTGTGTCCCTTGTCCTTGTGTCCCCTGCTCCCCTTGACAGGACTGGCTGATCCCAGAGCTCCCTTCCACCACCAACTGTCCTGTGACTGATTCTGGAGCTGATGGCTCAAGGACTCATCTCCTGTGCCTGTGAGCTGTGGGTTTGCCCTGTCCATGGTGAAGGAATGATTTATGCTCTTCCTTCTCCTTTTTTTCCCCTCTTCACCTGCCCTTGCTGTGTTTTGCTCCCTTTCCAGGAGAGCTGAGCTGGCGGGAGGTGAGGAGGGAGCCAGAACCAAGGCACCCTTCTGGAACCTTCCCTGGTCCCTTCTCCAGGGTTGATTCATTTCTSAGTGTCTRTAAATYCTYAKRSTCATGCCTGTGTCCAGTTATTGCTSTWCTGGCYYCARWATTTTCTTGRAATTYTGYWTTAAAAARGAATTACACTGATTAATGCAGAGTTTCCATCAAACAGTGTGTGTGAATACCCATCACTCCACATCTGACCAACCCCCAGGAAAAATTACACACTTCTCCCTGATGTTTTCACTCATTAATAGCAAAGAAATTTTTACATAAACCTTTTTTTTAGGCTCTCCTTTAGCTAATGAAGAGAAGTTTTATCTGCTTTCCCCATTTTTTTTTTTCACCTGTGGCCACCATGTAGCCAAAAGGAGGAAACATTTGTTCCCTTGATTCATTCCAAAATCTCTCCATAAAAAAGAGTGCCCAAGCAAACAGAAAAAGGATGAAAAGTTGTTTCTTAGGCAGGCAGGGCAGGTACAGTTGCTGTGCAGTGAAAAAGCAGCTGTCAGAGCCATCCCTGGCACCAAGTCAGCCCAGAAACTCTGAGAGAGATATCAGGGAAAGGACGAGCTGCCAAGTGTACACAAAATGAATGTACAGTTAATTCTGTCACGGGGTAACCCACAATTTGTTTCATAGATGAATATTTTTGGGGTATTTTTTGCAGATTTTAATTTTAGGATTTTCTTCTGCAAATTGCTGCTGTGATTATTTCGTGCTTAAATTTGATTGCYAGCCACTTCAGCAAGTGGGAGACTTCTTTGGGTTGGGTTTCTTTTTTTATTTTTATGGGCTTTTTTTTCCACTTTGGCGTTTTTCTTTCTTCCTGTAACAAATGTGCCTGATGTTGGTTGGCAGGCAGCAGCTTTTTAGTGGCTGCTTCTGCTGCTGAGCAGAAAAACATCAACTGTGTGAAGCTGATGCTGTGGATTTCTCTGTGCTCAGAGCAGTAAAAAACAACTTTTATGGGGGTGGTGATCAGTCAGTTTGGGGTATGGAGCTGCTTGCTTGGAATATTTGGGTTTTTCCATGCAGATCATCCTTGTTCCTTCTCTTTTTTTCCCCATGGAAAAGAAACATTTCATTATAAAGGACTTGGAACATAATCAGAAATAGTTCTGGATCCTCACATTTTTATGTGAAATGGTGGGATTTTTTTTTAAAAATATTTCAATACTTTTTTTGGAAAGGAAGAGCAGTTAACGTATCATAATTATTTTAACATCCTTGAATTTTTCAACATTTGTAGATAGAATTTTTAAAAATAAATCTGTAAATTTGTAGAAAAAAAATCTGTGGTATCTAAGAGTAAATCCTAGCAAAATTCATGATTGTGGTTTTTTTTTTTTTTTTTGTACAACAGGTCTGTGGGTGACTTTGAAACTTCTTCCAGGAGATATCCATCAGATTAGGAAAGAGTTTCCACACTTGGTGGACAGGTCAACAGCAGTGGCTCGGAAAATGGGTTTCCCTGAGATTATCATGCCTGGTAAGGCTCTGTGGGAATTAATGGTGTGTTTTGACATTGATGCTAAAATTTATATATTTGTATGTTAAATATATAAAAATATATTTTAGAAAAATTTACATTTTACCCTGCTTTAAATGGCTGTATGTATGGAAGGTTTTGGAGGGGAAAAAAAAAGGTAAATTTAAGGCATGGTATGCATTAAAAGAGGATCATCAAAATGATGTTGTCTGATATAAAATAAATGCAAAATACCTTGGTAATAACTGCATCAATAAGTGAAGTTCCCACCCCCTTCAAGAAGACAGGAAATCCCAGTGGCAGTGGGAATTGTCCTTTTCCAGTGAAGAAAATGTGCACAAAGGACAAACTTTGTGTTCTCCCCATAGCAAGGGTGTATGTAAAACCCCTCTGCTGCACTGAATTCAAAGCAGAAAGGTTTGCAGAGGAACCAGATTGATTTAGAGATAGCAAGCTGGATTTGGAGAAGGCATTTCAACAGAGCCACATCATCTTTTTTTAAAATACATTTATTTGGTGGCTGTTCAGGTGCTTACAAAAAAAAAAAAAATCCTAAAAAACCCCAAAACTGTGGTGTTTCTCAAAAAATACAGATTGATGGGCTCTGGAGGCTCCAGAGGTGTTTCCAAAACCCCTCCCAGTTCCAGGTGTCCCTTGGCTGCTGCCAGATGTGGCTGCCAGATGTTTCCCAGCCTCTGCAGGATGCTGTGAGTGCCTCACACCTTGTTTGGATCCTGTGTTGGCTCATTAACTGTCTGCCTCATGAAATCATTGGAAATCCCTCTTCTTCCCTGCTCATTTTGAAAATTTCAGTTGGATTGGGGTGGAGCTGAGGAACATTTTGAGACATAAATCTAAATACAGTCCTCCCCCTGCAGCCCCCAAGGCAGTGAAAACATCAAACCTCTTCCTGATGTAGGAAATTACAGACTTCTTGTAGGTATAATATTACAGGTTAAAATATTTTTATATTTAATTTATTATTTTCCTGTCGGTATAATATTAAGATACATATGTAGGTATTATATTATATTAATATAGTTTTATTTATGATTTCTTTTTTATTCAGCATAGGTTAAAATATTTTAAATTGCAGATACTATCATATTTTAAATAAATTTATGAATTGACTRTGTTGAAACACATATTTTGTTGAAAATTATACCAGTTTTAAAAAAAATTCTATGTAACATTAGTCGAAGATTTTGTTTGCCTTTTGCCTTGAGAGAAGGGCACTAAAGTTTCTTTCCAAGACATTGTTCCACTAAAGAAAACCTTATGAGTTTGACATCTCAACAGACTAGAAATAGCACAAAAATAAAAACTATCAAGGTCATTAATAAAACGTCAGCCCCAGACTTCCCCCTGAAGTGATCAGAAGCACCTAGTCTTAGAAAAGAGAAATTAAAAAAATCTAATTAACATCAGAAGTAAAAAATCCAGATCCAATTAAAGCCCAAATACTGAAAACTATGCAATGTTAGACCAATAGATATTAAACCAGTAAAGTTCTCTAAGTTTTAACTACATAAAATTTTAAAAAGGACTCTTTAAAAATTGATGTGTCATAAAATGATTCTCTACACACCTGGGCTATGTGTAGATGAAGTAATTTCTATTACATATTCTGGCCAGAAAATAAAGTAATGCCTTAAGTTTCTACCATTAAAAAAAGTTATTTAAAGCATTTTTAGTTTTCCTGTAGTTTCCATAATAATTTAACACTTTCAAGTGAATACTGAAAGAGATGGTGTAAAAATGAGTGGAACTGGGGTGTTTGAAATGTTTTGCCACATTGTTTCTGTGTGTCCTTGGCTTCACAAATCTGGGTTTGTTGTGAAATTTGGGTTATTTTGTCTGTGCCTTCCSTCGTAGGTGACGTTCGGAATGACATCTACGTCACCTTGGTGCAGGGAGATTTTGACAAAGGCAGTAAAACCACGGCRAAAAACGTGGAAGTCACGGTGTCTGTTTATGATGAAGATGGTAAAAGATTGGAGGTATTAAAGTACTTAATGTCTGGGGCTTTTTGATTTTGATACATATCAGGTTAAGCCTTTTCAACATCTGTATTTGTCAGCTTAAGGYCCCAGTTTTTATTTYCAGCCAAAYTYTTGTCATCATTAAATAYATCTTGCCTTATCAATGCCTGCACTTTGATACCAATTTCACGAGGAGCTCTGAGCAAGAGCCAGTCTYTTACTCTGACCCACTTCACTGATTTATTTTTTGTTGATTTGAGTGAAAAAGTGKAATTTAAGGGACATAAACACTTCTTGTGTTGTTTGTTTTTCCAGAATGTTATTTTTCCTGGTGCTGGGGACGAAGCCATCTCAGAGTACAAATCAGTGATCTATTACCAAGTGAAGCAGCCTCGCTGGTTTGAGACTGTGAAGGTATTAAAGCTGCTGAAATAACTTTTCTGGGTGTTAATGTGCTATTGGTGCAGCTTTCRGGGGGAAACAAAACTGGGGAAATTCCATGTTTGTGTTCAGCAGGGCGAGGAACAGCTCAGCAAGGCTTTGATTTTTCATTGTATATTGAATAATACAATAGAACATATTGAATTTTATTTCATCTGTCAGTCACGGGGGCTGCTGTGGGGAAGCTCCAGCTTCTSCTTAGCRATGGTTTGCTCTSTTTCCATGAAGCTGCCCTAGAGGAGCAGGATGCTGAGGCTGAACCACATTTGCCCAAAAGTGGAGGAGTTCAAAACTATGGGAGTTGGCTGTGCTTTAGTCTCGCTCCTTTTGCTGGGTGATCCCTTTGCACTTCACTGATGAATTTGGGTATTGCAGAGGAGGCTGCTGGGGCTGTTTGGGGTGTTCTCAGTCAGTCTGGGGTGTGTTCAGTCTGTCTGGGAGCTCTGGGAGCAGGGGCTCTGTGCTCTCAGGGCACTTGGGGCTGTTCCCCACACCAGAGTTTTCTCTCCAATGGTCCCTTGTCCCACCCTAAACAAAAAGGGGAATGGCAGGGGATGGATGTGCCATTGGGATGGTCACTCATGAATCCTTTGGAAGTGCCAGAGCAGTGCTGAAGATGTCTGGGTGGGGTTGGGACAGGCTGAAGGTGCTGTTTGTGACATTTTCTCCCTTGTGCAGGTGGCAATCCCCATCGAGGATGTGAACCGCAGCCACCTCAGGTTCACCTTCCGTCACAGATCATCCCAGGACTGTGAGTGATGCCAGCTCTCCATGGCACTGTTGGCCAAACAGCAACACAAAATAACAGACACAAAAACACACATAAGAGAGTGAAAAAGAGAGAGAAAAAAGAGAGTGTTTATTGTGGCATAAGCTTTTTTAATCTACTTTAGCAACTAGTTTATATATTTGTATCAAATATACATTGGTTAAGAGAGAACTGTTTAATTAATCAGTATATGATTGGTGAGTTTGCAAAAGCTCCAGTATTAGTAATGTTTATAATTTTCAGCCACTTGTGTTATCAATTCTACATTCTAACCTCTTTTTCTCAAAAGTAGCTAAGGTTGTGGTATTCTTCTATGCAGGCTGTTAACACTCCCTTTCTTTTCTGAGGACTCAGTCATACATAATTGGCTGAGTTTCAGATTCAGGGCTTGTGGGGCCACTTTTTTCCCCCACATCTCCATGGGCTTTCTTGGCAGTGCCTGCTGTCAATTCTTCCTGGGGCAGGGGTGCCATCCCCAATCCATCACTGAGCCATGTTATCTCTTCTAGTGCAGGATTAACTTTGTGACATTTTATTTTACATTTCCTCTCTGCTCTTTTTTCCCTTTACATCTTCCTCACTCTTCTCTATCCTCATCAAGTTTTTCTTTCCCTGCCCAGTTTTTTTCTCCAAAGGGAATAAAGGTAATTTTTTGCTAATTTACTAATAGAATAAAGCTTTCTATTAGTAACTCAGAGGGTTGTGGTATTCTGTACCTTAGAGGTGGCTAAATAGGGAGCAGTAAAGATCTTTACAAAAGCGAGTATAAAAGAGTTGGCTCATGGCTTAGCATCAGTAATTGAAGACTTTTGRATGAAAAAATTTAATTAATAAAATAATTAAGATAATGATACTTTTTTTGGAAAACAACATGCCAAAAGTCAGTGTCATTGTTATTGGAATCAGGATTGTGTGCTGCAGATTAATAGAGTCAAAAATGTGTTATGATGACTCAAATATTTAGGTTGGCTACAGCCTAAATATTAAAGAAGGTATTCCTAAATATTAAAAAGAGGCTCTTCCAGGGCTTTTTTCCAGTTTCCTGGGGCTGTTTCAAGGTGGTGACACTTTCCTTTTGGTTTTTTACTCAACTTAGTGTTCTCTTCTTCCTGTGTCACTTTTTTTTTTTTTAACTTTTGCTAGTAGATTTGGAGAAGAGCAAACTGAATCCATTTTCTAGTTCATGTTGGCTGCAGAATGGGTCAGCTTTCAAAACACTCAGTCACTTCATCTGCAATTATGGATCTGGTTTTTATTTTGCTTCTAATGTTGTGCCTCCAAATGTCTGTCCTCAGGGCTCAGTGCTCTGCTGAGATCCTCAGTGCTGCTGTTTAGATCTTTATTCCAGCTACCAAACACTGCCATTCTTTTGAAAACCTGAACTTTTCTGTTGGGTTTTTAAAAAGTTGCCTTAATAAAGCTTTCCAAAAGAACAGAATGTAGAAAAATGAAGCATCTGGTTACTGTTGATGCATTCATTTTGCTTTTTTGTTTTGGTTCTGTCTTGTTTTTAGAAGAAATCTCTATTTTTTTTGGACACTTAATTTACATGAGGATCTTTGCTATGGTCACTCCCATGTTTAAATGTGGGATTTAGGTGTCCTGACTATAGAAGAATCAAACTCTTAATTATGTGGTGATTTTTTTTTATTTTTCTTTTTTGTAACAGCTAAAGATAAATCTGAGAAGATATTTGCTCTGGCATTTGTGAAGCTCATGAGATAYGATGGGACAACTCTGAGAGATGGAGAGCACGACCTTATTGTTTACAAGGTAGAATTTTGAATTCCCACTGGGTAGCTCCCCTGACTGGCTTCTGGGGAATTCTGTCCTAGGATTACACAGGAAAATGTGTTGTGGATACTTCTGGTAGATCAAACCAAGCAGCAAGTCCTGTGTGGTTGGTTTATTTGGGAGATTGAGTGTTAAAACTTTAATATGTTTAATTTCAAAGGCATTTGTTGTTGAGTTCTTTGTGGGTTGGGAGAAGTTCCTACTGTAGTCCTTTAAATAATCCCATCTTGGCTCTGATGCAGACACATTAATGCCAAATTAACATTGTTAAAGATCCATTTGATAGCTCCAAACTGAAGAAAATYCAGTATAAATGTCAAAAAATTCTTATTTACTGGCTGTTTTCTCCTGCTGTGTTTCAAACACCCCTGCAGGCAGAAGCCAAGAAGCTGGAAGATGCCTCGACCTATCTGAGTCTGCCCTCCACRAAAATAGAACTGGAGGAGAAGGGTCACTCGGCCACGGGGAAGAGCATGCAGAACCTGGGCAGCTGCACCATCAGCAAGGATTCCTTCCAGATCTCCACTCTGGTGTGTTCCACCAAGCTGACCCAGAATGGTGAGTGCTCAGAGCTGCTGCAGTGCTGCTCTTGCAGCAGAAATTGGGATTTGTGTGCTGGATCTCCTGCCTGCTGCATCCGTGTTCCTGGGACTGCACAGGGGCTGCTGGCCACAAAACCTTGGGTGGGATTGTGGGGCTGAGTGTGTGACCCATCCCACAGGCTCTGATTTGATCCAGAGCAGTCAAATCCCAAATTAATGGGAGCAGAGGTTTTGTTTCCTGTGTAGTTGTCTCTTTTCCTGAGGTGCCCTCAAATGGGATCTGTGGCATTTTCCTTCTTCTTTCCTGTAACAGCACTGAGGAATGGATGAGTTTGATTTCAGGAGAAGGCAATACCATAACCCTGCCCCCAAATCTGCTGTTGATGTTACTCCAGGGTGCAGTATCAACATCTCAGGGCTGAGGGAAGCTCTGGTGCTCTCTCCTGGTGTTCAGAAGGGATGGGAGGGGAGGATGTGTTGCATGGAGGTCGTTCCCATATTCCCATCCCTTCCCAGGAGTGGCCTTGGCTCGTTTGTTCCTTCCTGTGCATTTTCCCTGTGTGTTTGTCAGCTGGCTGAGCACATCCCCAGGCTGTGGAGAACCAGTGGGGGCCACCACAGGCAATATTTCCCATTTGCAGCCCGTGCTCCACGTGTGGTTTTTGTGCTTGGTTGCCATGGAGCGATCCCTTGTTCGGCGTGGGAAGGTCATTCCACGGGGATTGACTCATTGCTGTGACTCAGGGTGGCTCTCTGGGGGCTGCTGGCCATCCCCACGAGGTTGCCACATTCACCAGTCCYCTCTGGTGACATCCTGGGGGATGTCCCTGCTGGGTTCTGGCGTGGATTGCGGTGTTTCCARCACATCTCTGAGTGTATCCTGGCTCTTTCATATGCAGAGCACATCGGAGCCACTGCAGTTCTGGCAGCCTTGAGCCTCGCAGGGTGTTCAGCTGGAAAAAAAAAAACAAAAAAACCAAAAAAACTGGGATGTGGTTGTAGGATTTCCCAGCAAAGATGGGACCGGGGCTTGTTGGATCCCGCGCTCTCCATCTGCAATGAAACTGCTTTTTGTTGGAAAAGCAGGGCTGGTTTTTCCCTCACTCTTTCCTTGTTAGTGGTTAAAAGTATTTCACAGTGATCAATATATTGATGTGAACTGACAGAACTRCTGTTAAAATTGAGCCTGAGCATTGTTTGGGGCTTGATTTACATATGGTGTGCTTTGAAAGACTGATCTTTGTTTAATGCTGCTGTTAACTGTGTTGGCTGTGAGACTCTTCCTCAGAGTTGCCAAAGTTTTCTCTCTTCCTTCAGAGTGCTGTGACWTTATTAAGCAAGATCACCATGTGTCAGTGAGCAGAAAAGAACCAAAACAACAAAAAAAATCATCATTAAATTCCTCCCACAAGCATCAGTTTTCATCTAAAAATTGGCAGTGCTTTTCAGATGGAAATTTCTGGGGCTGATTTTAAGTTTTGTAAARGGGTTGGTTAGTATTCCTCCTTTAACTTTCTCAAAAACAAATAGGCAAAAATCCATTATTATCCTCACTTACCAAAACGCTGATCCAAAACAGAGTTTTCTCCTTTTGGTTATCTATTTTAGTTCTTTCTTCATCTTCCATAACTACCTTAGWATTGGCTTTAAGACTCACATGCTTTCAGAATTACTAAAAATAAGTCATCTGTTTTTTTCTGCCTGGTGTTTGATGGGGCAGAGACTTCTTGGTGAGCTGTGAGTTATTAATGTTGCTTTTCTGTCAGTAATCGATATCCTTAGCATGGGAAAGGCTTCAAAAAATCAACTTGGCCATTGGTGAGGCTTGGAGAGAGAGTGATGGGATGAAGGGTATATTTGGTTAACACTTGAGCAGTTTTTAGTGATTTGAGCAGGATTTATTAGAGCAGGACATTCCCTGGCCTTTTCCTGGATTTTGCAGTTGATTTCGAGGAGGAGGAGCAAAAACCCCTCAGTGTCTGTGGAAGGAAATCCTCCTGGTGCCTTTTCCAGGACTTTCAGGATGTGTTTTTGTTCTTGGGGTGATGGGAGCAGAGCTGAATTTGGATTAATGGGGGTGCTGGAGAAATGCTCAGTTATTGATAGCAGGGAGCTGGCTGGTGCTGTCCCTGGGGATTTGCTGTTGGGAGCATCCTGGGCACCTCTGAGGCTCAGTCCAAGAATTTCTCTGTTTCCTTTTCTGCCTGAAGGACTCAAATCTCTGGGTAATAGTGGCTGTCACTTCACTGGAGTCAGGACTTCGAGGAACTGGGGATGCCAGGCTTTTGGAAAAGAGTTGGGAGGAATTTGACTTAGCACAGTTGATAATTAAAAAAAAAAAACAAAAACAAAACACAAAAACAACACACACATGACAAAATCAAATACTATAGTGGCATAAAATGTGAAGATGTAAGCACTGAATCAAAATAAAAATCACACAGAGGGGAAAAGCCGGTGTTCAAGTCAAGAAGGCAGATAATTTCAAAGAACAGATGGGAATTTAGTTAGAGGGGGAATATTCCCTGACTTCATTCAGTGACTGGGCTTTGAGAAAAGTTTGGGTGATCTGTAGGGGAGCTTTTGTGTGGGTACAGGTGAGGGAAAGCAGAGAGCCAGGAAGTTGGGCTGCCTGGTTCCAGTTGTTCAATATCCTGTAAAAGAAAACCCTCCACATGTAGCCAATAGAATCATAAATTACAGGAGTAAAGCAAAGCTGCTCTTGGGTACTCTGCAGGCTGGGTGCTTGTTGAAATCCTTTGCAGTTGGAAATAAGGGAATCACAGAATGGTTTGGGTTGGAAATGRCCTTAAATCCACCCAGTGCCACCCCWGCCATGGCAGGGACACCTCCCACTGTCCCAGGSTRCYCCMARCCCCAATGTCCAGCCTGGCCTTGGGCACTSMMAGGGATCCAGGGCATCTCTGGGCACCCTCATTTAATCTTCTTCCTGATGTTTTCTAACCTCAGCTTTCACTTGACCTAGGCTGACTCCAGCATTCCTGTTTCCTGTAGGCTAAAGCACTGTTTTACATCCTTCTGCTGCATTATTTTACACACAGCYCTGTGAAAAGAGTGGGATTAACTGCCTGGCTGGTGCTGGTGCTGTGCTGGGGTTAATTAATGCTTGCAGTAGCAGCGAGTGCCCATTTTCYCGTAGCCTGTAAGTTATTTTTCCCTTTCAGTTGGCCTGCACTGACATTTTGTGCTCACAAATGTATATTCATTTAGCATTTGCTCTGCCATCACGCTGCGAGTCCACGTGGGTTTGTTTTCTTGGGGCAATCCGTGATGCAGTTCAGAGCTCGTCTGTGGGCTGGCTTTTGTTCAGATCATTCCTTCTGTCAAGCTGATGCCTTGTTAGAAGTCAGACTGCAGCCAAATTCAGGGCTGGAAAGCTGATATAAATATATCCATGAAACACTTTGGATAACTCATGGAGGCATCTTCACTTTGCTTCCAGAAGCAATG